TCCCTGAAGTTCAACGCTTGGTCTGTAAAACATCAATACATTAGTTAAACATCGTTTCTGAGGGACACCTGAGGTTGCTGCCTCAGAGTTCAACTCTCCAGGCATTTCAAAGCAGGACCTGAAGACACCCCACACGGGTTCGAAAAGAAGCCCCGTAATATTTAACAGGAGCTGTGGTCTGGAGTGCTCCATGGAAAAGCGGAGGCTGAGGCATGGACGAGCACCCAGGGCAACGAAGACCTGGTCATCAGCGGCCCGAGGCGGCCCTGCCCGAGGAGGAGGGACACGCGAGCCCGGCCGGGGCCAGGCCCGGCGGCACCGAGACAGCGGCACCGAGACGGCGGCACCGAGACGGCGGCACTCCCGGCCCCGAGGGCAGCGCCCGGGCCGCCGCTCCGGCCTCAGCCGCCCGGGGACGCGCGCAGGCGCCGGCCGGCCGGCCGGGGAGGGGGCCCGCCATGCTCGGGCCCAGCCCGCCGGAGCGGCGGCGACACCTGGAGCTCACTCACCTTTTCCTGAGGCGGGCACCAGCTTCCACATCCTGGAGCTCGCCGGCGAGCCGGGACGGAGCCGGGACGGGGAAGGAGAATCCTGGGAGATGCCGCGACCCCGCGCGCGGGGCCGGGTGGGGGGCGGGGCAGGCCGAGGGCGCCGCCTACGGGGCCGTGGGACCGCTGCAGCCGCGGCCCGCGCGCGTGCGCGGCCCCGTCACAGCCGCGTTCCTGTCACAGCCGTGTCCCCATCACAGCCGTGTCCCCGTCACGGCGGCACCCCTTGGCACCCCCGGGGAGCTGCCTGTCCCTTCCGCTCCGTGTCAGCGTGGGCCGGGATTGACATGTCCAGCCGGGGCCCCGCGGGTGGGTTGTGTCCCTCTGGCCTGCCCTTCTCAGTGCGCTCTCAATCCCTAACAAAATGCATTGCATGCGGAACAGGAAACTTGCTAGACATTCATCTCTTAACTGAAAGCAAGGTTTGGATAAAAAAAAAAAAAAAAAAAAAAAAGAATTTTAACTGAAAAACACCTGGGAGTTCGAAGGCCATTCGGCAGGTTACCAAAGACTTTCTGGAAACAGCAGAGGAAGCCACACTTGCATGACTGCAGTCACACGCATCCGAGGAAAGGCTCAAAATACCAATTTCTCCTTGCGCTAAGCAGCTCATGATCAGCCTCAGCTGGAGAGCAAATTCCTACCCGCCAATCGGCTTACTTCTCAAGTAATGAATATTGGTAATTGTTTGCCCCTTAACTTTCCAAAATAGAGAAATCTTTTGAAGTTATAACCACAGTTAAGAAGTTTTGGTATAAAAAAACCCACTGTGGAGTTGAAATGGGGAGGGGAAACTCAGGATAACGTTTTTCTAATAGAAAATATTAATCTAAACCACACAGAAATGTAAATATGAGCTGTCAGAAATGTTTTTGTAGTATCATAATCTGCTTAATCTCCACATGTTATGACTTTAGGAATCCTTGGTCCTTAAATGTTCATTTAGATACCTTTTTATATTTTCCTACACTTCTAAGATAGATGATCAGTCTCCTTAATCTCTTTCCTTCTGAGTTTTCTCCATCTTCCTTGTTTGTTCTTTTTAGTCCCTCATAATTTTGCCAGTTTAGTTTTGAGCCAAGGTGACCAGAAATACACAATATAACCTGAATAAGACTATTTCTCAGCTTTATATAACTGTACTTTAATATTTTCTGTATTGTTGTCATTATTTTATGTCTTATTTATCCTATTGGCTTGACTTCTGTGACCAACTCATATGACAAATCATAGTCATAAGAAACTGTATGAATCATATAAACTCCTTTATAATGTTTATGCTTCAAAGTCTCCTGCATTTATCTGATTTTATTTTACTTTATTTTTCTGGTATCATGGTTTCCCATTCATTTACCTTCTAGACTTTGTGAGGTTTGCTGTCAGACTGACCTACTTCTCTGTCCTCTAGTATTTGTTGGTTTTCTACTTGTTCCTTTTTTCAATTCACAAATAAACGATTCAGCAGAGTTCAAAACTTAGAGACTAGTAGAGCAGAAAGAGGTGTTTCAGAAACTCTCATGGACCGCAGGCTTAACTTGCATCTAACTTTTGAAATAGTACCACAGTTGACGCCTATGAAACAGTATCTAAACAGAATATCAAGGCGATCTCTCATTACACATTTGCTCTTAACAGATATTTAGGTCAGCATTATGTCTATATTTTATTCCTTACCTAGGATTATTTTTTCTCCTTAGTAGTCTTTCTTTTGTATTAAAAGTCTCTTGGACTATTTTTAAACTTTATCATCAGGTGCTATGCATTTCTTTTGACAAGGTAGTTTGAGTGGCAGAAGCAGCAATGGCATGCAAGTTTACAGTGAGGACTGAGGTTTCTGCTGAGCTCTGTTATGCCACTTGGCTAAATCCTTGAAAGTCTAAGTTATGCCTGCTAGCTCTTATATATTCATAGCTTCTTAGGTATTTCTGTAAGAGGTGATTAAGACATCATTACCTTTGCAAAAGACTGGTGCTAGACAGACACTTTCAGATCATGCTTTTCTAGGAGTTACATTTTTTTGATTACTTTTTCCCCTACAAATAATAGATTTAGTCTTATAATTTCTCATGTTACCATAGAAGATTAAAAAACGCATTAAAAACTCAACCAAAAATCCTAACAGATACTTTCTGCTTTAAACCTTCTGGCATGCTTTAAAACAGAGATTAGATGCTTCAATATTTCAGTTAAGCTGTTCTTAAACTCTTCCTAAACTTGGAAATCATCCAAAATGAAGTAGAATTTTAGAAAGTGGGGTAGTAGCCTATTAAACCAATTTAATTTCCTTGTAAAATGCTGGTAGTTCTTCTTTCAATTATATTTTTAGATTTTTTGGTTGGTTAGGTGGGGGATTTTTTGGTTTTTAGTTCAGTGATTATGTATCTCTTGAGACTCAGTATCTTTTGAATTAACTAATTTTAATGAAATGTTACCATGTAAATCTTAGAATGTCAGAGTCTCTGACACCTATCAGATATTCCATATGCAGTTTTAATGGTACTGTGGCAATCACTGCCTAGTGGTGTGGCACTATTGCTTCAGTGGCTGCCAGATGGTGTGCAGCACTTACAAAGATGTTAGGTACTCTAGAACTTACTGCACCAACAGAGCATCAACTTTTTGTTTTGTTTTGTTTTGTTTTTTCCTAAATGTTGAACATTTAGAGAAAATGGCTGTTTGGCCATTTTTATACAGGGCAATGATGACTAAGCTGTAAGATTTGAATTCTGATGCCTCTGAACTCCCACAGCACCGTGTATTCAGTTTGCCCTGAATTCAAAAATTGATAGCATAGACCCAGTGATAGGGTTTTTTTGTCTTTCATGGCAAGTTTTGTAACTGCACAGATTCATCAAGTGTTGTTCTCCTCAAAACCAGCAGCTTTATTAAATCTGTATGTTCTTACAGCTACCATGCTCTTCCCTGCTCCCTTACCTTCTCCTTCCTTATGGGCAGATACAACTCTGCAGCCTTGTTACCCAGGCTGTGCAAATGGGTAGGTATCAGTCAGTCATTACTTTTCTGGTTGGCCAGTCTATGTGCTCAACACAGATCCATCAAATGTCTTGTTACATCAACATAATCCCCTGTCACTGAATATGGCCTAATGTTTGTAAGACTGCTCAGGCCTTTTCTGAACTCCCTTGACAGTGCTGAATTTGAAATGAGGGATCTTAGTCTTTCTGGTAAACTTTGTTTTTGCTGGCAGTCAGCCAGTGTTGGTGTGTGCAGTGGAGCCAGCACAGAGCCTCTGTGCTGCTGCCCAGGAGTGATCTGTGAATGCACGGTATTACCCCAAATCAGGTCCCATGTTACCCATCCCATTTGAAATCCCAGTTAGCAGACAGCTGTGCCACTCCTTTTCTCTCATTTGTTAAATAAACAACTCTTCTACCCCCAAAACACACACACCAAAAATTGGCCACCATGCTAAGGGTAGAAGGCATGGAAATTTTTGGGTTTAGATCACAAGATAAAAAACCAAACCCACAAAGAAACAAACCAAAAAAACAAGAAAAAAGAAAAAAGAAGAAGATTGTCCTTTGAGTTGAGTAAATCACTTGCAGTAATAAAACCCCAACTCAGTGAAGCAGATAGCCCGAACCCTGACCCTCACAGCTGGAACTGGAGGTGCCAAGGCAGTGGCAGTGTCCAGGAAGGTGCCCCTGTGTTATCCAAAATAGGTTCTTTCTCCCAGTGAGCAAAAGGTCAAATCCTCGCAGAGTCGAGGTATTTGATTTACAGTTCTGTGCAGAAAGGGGTGCCGGCTGATAAATCCACAAAGCCAGCACAATGGCTTCCAAAACTTTTCATTGTGTATACATTTTTGCAAATAAAGACATTAATATTCATTGTTCTCTTACTAAAGAGTATTCTATCTTCTACTGGTTAATGATTCTGTTCCTTCTCAAGCTAATTAGTCTGCAGGCTCAGTCTTTCTCTTATGGTTCCGTAGGCGATCTTCCCCTGCTAGAATTAACTTTAACCCAGTTGGAGTTGATTTCAGCACAGTTGCTTTGTCTTTATTAGTTTTTTTCTTGTCTTCAGGTTCTGCCAAATGTCCGTCCTTGTGGTCCGTAAATTCTGCATTCTTTGTATCCACAATCAGTGGTACATCCTTCTCCCCAGACTTTGTTAACCTCCCGTCTGAGATGGCTGAAACATGTCAAGCCCTAAACCCTTAACAAGGCAATTCCATCGACAAGTACTTTGCCTTTCTAACACCTGGACGTCGCTTAGAGCTTACTTATTAGCTGCTAACTGTTTCACGGACTGAATCTCCTTTCTTGTGGGTTACGCTTGAAAGCGTACAAAGATCAAACACCAGAGGACATGCTTTCTTAAGAAAATTTTTACGTATTCCACATTTTGCAGCTCTCGGGGCGGGGACGGTCTCGGCGGCTCCGCCCGGTGCCGCCCCCGCGGGGCAGGCGCACGGCCTGGCCGGACAAGATGGCGGTGGCGGTGCTGGGACGGCGCGCAGTGCGGGGCATCGGTTTCTGCGGCGCCGGGAGGGTAAGGC